GAACATAAATGCCCCCTACCCGCGTGGATTCGCTAGAGAATCGACACAGTCTTGGAAAAAAAAAAAAAAAACAAAAACCGTTTAATTTTCGTAATCTAGTTCCTCGCGACTTTTTCAGCAGCAAGGTCGGGGTGTGGAGGGCTAGTATTTAGCAGAGGGGGAAGGGAGGAGGGAGAAGTGGGCATGAGGTTTAGGCAGGGCTTATTTTAGCAGGACCGGTGGCGGGGGGCTGTCCACGAGGGACAACAGCATATGTTTCAACAGTTAACAAACTCTGTTCTTATTGTTATTGCGGTGTGATAGCGTGGCCCTTGGCCCCGTATGAAAACTTCAAAACTACGAATCCCAGTATGAAAATGAAGTGGCATTAATCACCGCCGAATCTGTTCATTTCACTCCGCCCCGTAAGCATAAGACATCAGAACTACGGCCTAAATCTTTGGCGGAACAAAAAGATGCAGCTGTGACTACTGTCAGCTAACAACTCTACAATTAGAAACGATCTGCAACACGCTTAGAAAATGCATTGATTAGAATGGAAGTCGGGGGTGTCGTTCGGGGCTCCGCCCGCTGAAAACACTACTACTTTGCAACACATTCAACGACACGGGAGCGCGCGACGGCACCACTGGGACACTTTCGACGATTTTCGTTCGAGTCTTCGAAATTATTCCGAGCGTCGACCTTCGTTTGCGTTCATCAGCTCTGGAGATAACGAAAGGTGGGCCGCGAAAGAAGCTGGAACCTGACTGGCAATAGTGCCCTTTTTTGGGCTACCGGGTGAAGACGGGGCGGGGGTGGGCAATAACGCTGTACTACAACAAACAACCTAACGGTAAAGCTGAAATTAGAACTGATTATAGGGGCCATTTTCGGAGTACGGGTTTGTGTGATTGACTGAGAGTGCACAAGCAATTAGCCTTTTATTTTTTATTTTACACACACCCTTATAAAACTAAAATTTTACTACTATCTTTTTTTTTTTTTTAAACATGCATTGTGTTTAGAGATGAATTCAATAGCTTCGTTTCGTATGCACTCGGTGTCGTTCATATATTTCGCCTTATTCTTCTCTAAAATAAAATCCTTAATTTTATATATCTGCACGATTATTGCCCCACATATAGCTTGTTGGCCTAGACTTTCTTCCTCTCCTCCTCTCCCCCCCCATAGGCTTGCTCTTCCATTAGCGCAACAGTATGGTCCGAGAGCGTCGCGGCGGACTGTTTAACACATAAAAACAAGGAACTTGCTAACGCTTATTTTTATTTTGCTCTTACTTACTTTATATGAATTACATCATTTTAATATTTACATTTAATCCGGAATTTCCGAACCCCCCCCCCGAGCTCTAACTAGCTAATGGTCACACTACACTTACTCTCGGGTCAGCTCTTCGTCTTTTTTTCCGTCAAGAACATTTTACATGTTTGGATTTGGCACAGAACGCCTCTCTCTAACTCTCTCCATTCACACCACCTCTCCCGCTATATCCATTCTAACTACTGATTACCACAACATCCACTTGGCATTACCTACGATACTTTGTGCCGTGGCTTCTCCTATGACCGCTGCGGATGAATTGGCTAACGATCATGGTAACAAGCCCACAGGACACTCTCCGACCAACGTTCGGGTCGATGAGCCAGCCACTTAATGCTAGACCTCTCTGCGGCACATCCTCTCAACGTCAGCGAGGGCGGCTAACAATGCACCGTCGACGGAACACACTCCCGAAGAGTACTGCGCCCTCAAGACATCGAGGAGTGCCATTCGCAGCGCCTTCTGGTCCACGGAAGAACATGCCGAATTAATGCAGTTAGCCGACGAGTTGCAGCCCAGGGAGAGAATACTGAAAAATCTGTTGCTCTGTTTTCATTGGTATTTTTCAACGAGAACGTCGGCTACAATTAGGAGATTGCAGCATCTCAGTGAACCAAGCCTCCACGGTCGAACCGGCATCTTACCATCTACGACGGCGGACTCCTCCGCATCGCTTAATCTATTTGCTGGCCACTCGCTGGACTGCAATAATTTCCGACGCACTTTGGGACACGGTACCTTGCGCGAAGAATCTCATCCACCTGAGCTGCCATCCCAACAGTCACCCCAGCCGCGTATTGAGCCTTATGAACGGCCCGCGGCGCATGTCTCAGCCTGTCTCCCTACGCGTTCTGCTCTGAAGTGTCAGGAAAGCAGGCCTGCTGGCTTTTGTTCAACACTCACGAACGGCTCGGCGGCTGCTCATGTCTATCACAACCATCGGAACCGCTCGCCGACCAGGCATCACATACTATTTCATTCCATGCACAATTAACTTATTTCTCCAGATACCCCACCGTATCATCCCAGCAGCCAAACGCGCCGGCCGATACCGCAATAGCAACAGCAACGGCTGCACCGCCTAAATAGCCGTCCACGTCATCGGACTTACAGCAAGATGATAATTTACGTGACTTAACGGTCAACGCCATACTCCTGCATTACTGCGACTTATGCCCGCGCTCTTTCTCCACAAACATAGGCTTAGGTCAACACCTAGTTAACAACCGCCGCAGTGTAACGGGATTTTTAGCTGTCACTGTTGTCGTCAACTGAACGGAGTTCAAATGCTCAACATGCAGCAAAATGTTCAAAAGCGAGCGTGGCTTGTCTCAGAACCGCCGTCAAGCCCACTCGGATACGTGCAACGCAGTGGGTGTGGCGGGGCTATTCAACCACCAGCGAAACTGGTCTGCGCTAGAAGATGAGACACTTCTTGCCTGCGCAACGGATATGCCACCGCCCGCCTCCAATCTTCCTCAGCTGGTCAGTCAGCTCCGCATCCGATTTCCCTGCCGATCAAATGACTGTATTAAGAAACAAGTTCAAGTTCTCAATTGGAACATCCCAGGAGCAAGGGAACGCCTCTATAAATGATCAGCAATTTCAGAAACGCACGCCGCATCGCCATCACATCTTCGCACTCATTCGCCAAGTCCATCTTACTATCATCTGAAAGAAGAGATCCATAAACCACACAAGATGAACCCCTCAGGTCTGATTTTACCCTTCCATCGCGATGAGACTGGACCTTAAGGTGGTGCGATGGTTTGTGTGCCTCAGTAATCCATTAAACAATGCTGGTTGGTGCTTTTTGGCACTTTCACAGCCATTCACATCAGATTGGTCAGTGGTCAGAGGCCAGAGGCCAGACAAACTCAGTATCCTGGCCCTCCAGGTTGGGGGTTGGATCAAGGGTGGCTCCTTACTCCGTAAAACGGGCTCTCTACAATCCAGTGCCAAAACCACGTTGCCTTGCCGTAAGGTTTTTGAACCAAATATTTTGGTTGAGAAGCCTAATCGTTCGCCTGTCTAGACCTGGGCAACCCGACAGCATCCCGCTCACGCAACACAATGAACCTCTCCTCTCACAGTTTTTTTATGCTACGGCCGTCGCAGAGATTAATTAAGGGGCCCCATCTGCTGTATCGAGCAGGGTGGATAGGGGTTTGGATGCTACAGCTCATGCATTCTCGCCATTTTATTCTAACCTAGCGATTTTTCATACTTAACGTCCCGTTCCAAGTACACTTTTATTCTCCACGTTTACAATCGCTCAATTCCTGACCCACCCCCAACTTGCTTGAATAGTCACTTGTTTGTTAGTTACAACTCACGCACAATCGCAGTGCGTCGCTCCAAGCTAGTCCACAAGTCCAAGTTCAACTAAGCGGACAACGTCAGTTCATCCGTTTACCTTTGGAGTCGTCGCGTCTCGCTAAGACTAGCATGCCTCAAGGTGCGCACTTTTATAGAGATTAGCCAACAGGCAGTGCTTGTCCGCACACAAGAGACCCAATCTATCGATAGTTGCTTCTTATCGGAAACTCGTTTGCTAGATTTGAGCACCGTGCTTACCCTACGATCCCCCACAGGCGATCCCGGTGGTACATTCTCATTGCGCCTGTGTGGCGATGATGTAGCTTCAAATGTCGGTTAAGCTGGCGTCGGCATTGTTTAGAGTCCACGGGCTGAAGCTGCCGTGATCGATTGGATCCTAGTCAACAGTCGGATGTGCGCCGCTAGATTAGCTGGTTTGTTCCATGCTACGAAGTCGCGCGGGAGCAAACGGTGTCTGTTTTGTCATGGCGGGGCCTACGTCCCTACAATTGTAGCACTGATTCTGGGAAACAATGATTTCTATCAACAATTAAACGATCTCCTCGTTAGAGAATGAAGCACGGATATTGTGGTGTTTTGGGGCGGCAATCGTAAACGCCCAAGTTCGCAAAACTGTGCTCTGGATGAGCTCATCTGGGCGGCCAACGAGGTTGTAACCTCCCCGCAAAGATAACGGTGAAGGCGTTGCTACACTGTGTAAGAGCCTCGTCACTTGTTCTCTCCTCGCAAGCACAAACTTTCGACACAGCACCGCAGAAGCGTGACTTGGCGCCCACCAGCCTCGCACCAGCCATGGACGCAAATCGATCATATCGCGATCAGTTACCGCTGGAGAGGCTGTGTCCAAAACTGTCGCTCGATTTGGAGCACGAGCGTGGACTCTGATCACGCACTTGTTTGCGCCGACATCCGAGTGCGTTTCGGTGGACGTCCGCAACGTCGATGTGAACGGATTGACACCAGCCAGCTGGCGAAGCCAGGTGTTCTGAATGTGTATCAAAGTGCGCTGACATCCGAGCTGAGTAAGCGCCCACTGAACACGGTCGAAGATCACTGGTCGCATATTCGTCAAACGTTACTATCAGCAGGCATGTCTTCATGTGGCAAATCAAATTGCCAACCTAGACATAGAGTTTCCTAATAGTTCTCTGGAAACTTATGGATGGCTCGCCGACTGCATTCCTGACCTAAGGAGAAGCAATACAAGGAATTCGGAAAAATCTCAGGGCAAAACAACTGCATGCTAGCCTGAAGAGAGACCGCGAAGCCGATGGTGGTCCTCATCGTGCATCGGCAATGGAGACAGCCGACCTGGGCCGATTGATAATATAAATCGTAAGTAATGCTGCTGGGCCAATCCGTTTACTCCTGGGGTCTCAGGTGGGGTGCCCCTTGGTTGCGTTATTTCTTGCCTGTCTTTGTATTGGCAGCACAAGTAGCTGGGTTTTTCCACCCGCCCCTAACGTGTATCAATCAAGTGAACTGAATGATTATTAACCCCTCGCCTGGCGCGGTTTCTCGATTTTAGTGACCATCACAATGACCACTGATAGGACCTGCTGACAATGTCAGCACACACACAGCATACGGTACCCTGACATAGGCTAGTGGACTAGCGCCACAGGCCTCCCTCCCCAACTCTCATCTTTATCCTCTCCTATCTATCTATCTATCTATCTATCTATCTATCTATCTATCTATCTATCTATCTATCTATCTATCTATCTATCTATCTATCTATCTACTATCTATCTATCTATCTATCTATCTATCTATCTATCTATCTATCTATCTATCTATCTATCTATCTATCTATCTATCTATCTATCTATCTATCTATCTATCTATCTATCTATCTATCTATCTATCTATCTATCTATCTATCTATCTATCTATCTATCTATCTATCTATCTATCTATCTATCTATCTATCTATCTATCTATCTATCTATCTATCTATCTATCTATCTATCTATCTATCTATCTATCTATCTATCTATCTATCTATCTATCTATCTATCTATCTATCTATCTATCTATCTATCTATCTAACTATCTATCTATCTATCTATCTATCTATCTATCTATCTATCTATCTATCTATCTATCTATCTATCTATCTATCTATCTATCTATCTATCTATCTATCTATCTATCTATCTTTAT